ACACAGACAGCCTCTTCCCAATATGCGTTTTTGCAATTTACATATATGCAAAAACGCATAATAATAAAAACGCAAGAAAATGCCAATAATGAGAACAATGAGTGGGCAAAAATCCCCGTGATAATGATTATTACAACGCAAAAAAAACAAAACAAAGCATACCCGATTCGTGATTACAGGAATACGTTGCGTACCACCACGGAAGCCACGTGAAGTGGTACCGCCACGTCGTGCACCACGTCGGAAATTTGTCCGGAACTTTGCGCCACCACGTGCAATAATTTCGTCCAACGACAGATTGATAAGTTCGCTCATCGACATCACTTCTGGCTCACTGTTGGTGTGCAACGAGAGCAACAAGACTGAGAGCTGCCAAAATACGGGAGATGGTAATCGAAACGATGAGAACTTCTGCCTGAAGTACCGTCTTAAATCACTTGGGCCAGCTGCATTTCACAACCTGATTCTCCAGCTCTGCAGATCGGAACTTCTCCAGAAGCACTGTAACGAGGAGGAGGATGGCCGCTGGCCTATGCAGCTTTGGAGGTGGCTCTCGCCCAAACTAATACGCAATTCTTTATTAGTAAAGAAGCGCAGAAAGTTAAAAAATAAATAAATAAACGACAAAAAAACCCGGTAGTACCTCCAAACTGCCACCGTACAATTTCTGAGACACAAAGAACGATCCAGCATTTCATTTCTAATCATCATATTAAATATCACGGACGGGAAACACACGAGTCAGGAGACGGGACATTTGCATATCATAAGGAATCGAAGGGCAACTAAGCAACGCGAAAGGGTTTAGCCGAAGCTTCGCTTCCTAGTCGTTAGCACTTTCTTCCTTTCGCAACAGCACTGAGCAGTGCTGCATCCTCTTGCGGTCAGCCTGCTGGTGATCTTAAAACTCAAATCCACAATAAGGCAAAGATGTGATTCCAAAAGGGGCATTCTTAACGCAGCCTGGACAAATCCTGCTTCTGATCCTTGAGGAATATATCGGAAGAATTGTCAGAAATGGGGATTTTTAGCTGTATGCACTACCTGGGAGCAACAAGAGGGTCAGGGAGCAGGGGACAGTGGTTTTCGTCTCGTTTCTGGACACGTGCATGAACTGCAAGAGCTGGAGTGCGCAGCTCACGTACCTCTAGTCAACTGAAAGTAGCATCTTGTTTTGGCTAACCAGAACAACCCGGTGGCGGAAAATCTCTAGTTTTTAAGAAATCCAGGCCCACAGAATCCAAAAGTTGCAGAAAGTTCAGCCCCGGCAAA